GTAAAGCCACATTTATTTTTAATATTACCTCAGTATTCCTCGAACCCCACATTTCTGTAGTGTTCTGCAATGAGTTCCTGTGTACTCATTATTGAATGGAAGGTCCAAAACTGGTTGTTGTCCTTTTCTTCTCTCGTCTCTTTTCACAATCCGGGAAAGTCCACCTTCAGCTCCTTCTTTGGAGCTGCTGCTGAGACGTTTCAAAGTTCTGTGCATCTCTGTGTCTGCCTCGAGCTCCCCGCCACCTCGTGAGCTTTCCATCTCCCCCCACCCCCGCCCTCGCTTCCCCCCCCCCTTGTCTTCTGCAAATGGAAAACGTTCTAAGTTAAAAACTTAATCTGTTGTTAATGTAAGGCCCCTGAGTTGCCGATATCGCTAACCTGGAGTTAGGGAGCCGAGCCAGGGAGAGAGATTGAGAGCACGGATGGGGATAGAAAGCACATGTGAGTGTCAGCAGCAAGTACGCACGCGCACACACACACACACACGCATACACATGCATACACACGTCCACACGCGCACACACGAGCATGCTGTCGGGAGTTAACAGAAGCTGCGTGTGGATTTATTCCTCATGTTAACGTGTCCCCGTTTCTCTCCATCACTGAGAACACCCGAGAGTTCAGTGCACACGTTTTAAATATGCACACACACACACACACAAAAACATGTATTCAGATCTATAATATATATATGTATGTACACATATATACATATATATGTATATATTATATTTATATACATAATATATATTTATATACATAATATATATTTATATATTGTATATGTATATATTATATACATATATATGTAGGTTTTTATATATGTATATATATAAAAATCTTGTATTTGGCAATCCTTTGGGCCATGTTGAATGTGTTTCGTGACTATAGAAAATAAACTTTTGCATATTTTCCTGTGGATCACAGTTGTGAGGGATGGGGGGCATTTTTTAATGTGAGTTCCACTTCCTGATGTCACTTGTTGATGAACCACCATATTTTAACAATAATTCCATTCTTGGTATAATTAATAGAAAATGAGTTTCTAAAAGTAAAAATTGGGTCAGAAATGGAGATTATTAAAATGTACAATTGCAAAAGCCTGACCCTACAAACCCCATTTATGCAACCGAGTTCCAAAATGCTTTTGAGTGCTTGATGACTCAGTGTGGCTTCTTCCTCTGGCTGGTTTAGTGTAGGCAAGAGGTTAGCCGACTAGGGGAAATTAAAACAATGTTGTACATTATATTGTTACCAGCCATCGAAAAGCCTATTTTGTATGCAAGACAGCAATGCCGAGATATATGGAGAGCCCTAGGCTAAGTACAGAAGATAATTACATTTGGAATTTTACTGAGTTAAGTCATTTACAGCTTCAAATAGTTGCAGAGAAAAATCAGCCAAAACACACTTAAACTTTTTGTTGTGACTTTTCAGGACAGAAAGGATTTTTTTTAATTAGTTATCATCTTATATGACAAATTACATTTTGTTTAGTAAGATTGTCTCAAAAGTTATTTTCTTTAGCTAGTTAATATTTTTCCATTCAGACTACAGAGATGAACTTATTAGAACAGTAAGATATTCATACAGGCAAAGGGCACATCATAAAATCCCCAAATTTTTACGTAAGTCTTTGGAAACACCTTTAAATTTAGCATGTTTCTTCAGAAGGAAAACAGTAGCTTTATTTATCTCCTCCCCCGCCCCGAAAGTTCACTTCTGTTTGATGTGTAGTAAGCCCTTGAAAAATTGGTTTCAGAAGAACAAACTTTATGGCTCTTGCTACTGAAAATCTTTACGTATTGGTGGTTATAAAGTGATATAAGTCCCTGCATTTATTTAGTTGATAAAATTAAATTCTCAGCATTTAGTTAGAATAAAGTGTTTCACAGAGTGTCATGGTTTGCCCAAGTAGGTGTCCCAGATTCCAGATTGGAGAGCGTGGGGCCATTGTTCATTACTGAGGAGCTGATTATCGACTTTATTCATTGCTCCTCACTCTCCCCAAGAGCTGGCAAGAGAAGGAAAGGAGTTAGACCATCAGTAAGTCAAGTCGTTCTCCCCTGGCAGCTTTAATGTTTTTTGGTGGGTGTGGCCTGGGAGCTTTGCAGACCATTAGAAGGATTCTTTGATTTTTTGTGGATTTTATTTATTCATAGATCCCCTTCATCCTTCAGCCCTAAATCAAACTGAAGGCAGGGTTTTCAACTTGTGATAGGGCTCAAAGAAGATCATCTGGCCAGAAGTTACTATGGGGTAGTTGCCTGTGGTATTCCTTGTGATATTTTTGCTTGAGAGTTTACTTTAACGAAGGAAGGGGCAGGCTCATTCTGAAGGTTTTGGTTTCTTCAAAGGCTGAGGGAATTGTTAAAGTGATGGCGTAATGCTTGTCAAGAGCAGGAGTTGCCACACTGCAGATCAGGAGCCCAATCCCAAGAGCTAAGAAAGGTTTTTATGTTTTGAATAGTGTGGGGGAGGGGGAGGGATCAAAGGAAGAATAGAGCATGTGAAATTCAGATTCCAGTGTCCATACATAAGGTTGTATTGGAACATGGCCACGCCCATTCATTGATGTGTCATCTCTGGCCATAGTTGCTTGGCATTACAGTAGAAAAGTTCAAGTAGTTGCACCAGAGTCCCTTATGGCCTGCCAAGCTGAAAATATTTACTATCGGGTTGGCTCCTACAGAAGTTTGCCAAATAACCCCTGCTCCAGAGGATTCAAAAAAACCCATTTGCATCACATTATATAATTCCCCTTAGGTTCCTGGCTACCTAAAGGTCTGCGAACCCCTTCTTCCCTCTTCCTTCCTCGCCTTGGTGTATAAAACCATTCTAGTCACCACATTGGTCGGGTTTCCCCAACAGCGACTTCACCTAACAAGTACTTGTCCATCACGGGGATCATGGAAAGCGGGCTGATGGATATTCATTCATTCATCCATTTATCTTACCAGTTCATTTAGCACACATCACCCAGAGCCTGTATAACATAGCAGGAACCTTGCTGAAGCCAGTAAAGGGTTGCAAGAGTGAGCAAAATGGTTAAGGTTGCCCTCCTGGTTCTTATGTGTTAAAGGGAAAACAGACTATAGATAAGTAATTTTCCAGTGGCACTGTCCCCTCCTTGGGTAGTGCTGGCTGATACTGACGGGTTCTTGAAAACACTAGAAACATGCTCAAAAGAGTTTCAGTACTAGAGAGGGGCCAAACCCAATTTTATTCATTAGTTATTATTCAGGCAGATGAAATATACCAGAAAATGTTAACAATGTTTAGTTGTTGAAGAACCCTCACCCTGAGCCAGAACTGAGAGGTCAGGATTAGACGGAGATTCTTTGGGTTGCAGATCTGGCACGTTGTGGGGCAGTCTAGGACAAGGTACACTTAGACCCACCAGCTGTCCTCACTGCGGGCTTCCTCTTCCTCTCGGGTCAGCATTTTCATGTTTGTGCTGTCACATTTGCCATGTCTTTTACCCATGTCTAGAAATGTACTTTTTAATTGACTTAACGAACAGTCGCTGTGCCCATAGGACCTGAGGTGTTGGGGGAACCAGGTCCCTGCAGCAGCCAAGAATACTTTGAAGAGGTGTTCTTATGCTTGAACAGCCTCTCTCTTATTTCCCCTTGGCATCATCCCCTCATTCCCTCCACAGTACACTGACAAATCACCTCCTCCATTGGGGACGCCCTGGGCATGACCAGCCCCACAGCTACTTCTCTTTGCCTTCAAGAAGGCATTTCCCCAGACCAGGAAGTACCTCTACCTCCAAGTATATTACAGAATTCCTATTCATTAACTTGAATTTGAAAAACATTTGCACAAGTTAGCACTACAGAAAAGAGCCGTCAAAGTTGGAACAATTCCCCAAGGCTGATCCCTGTATTGTTGGAGGATCAGTCTCCCCCTACCACCCGGACTTGCCAGGCCTTTCTCTGCACAGCAGGACTTAGACCTCTGGTGTTTACATCTGGGAGCAAAGGCACATGTGTGCCCCCATTAGAAAACTAACCCCAATAAGCTTAAATCTATGTCATAGATCAATGGAGGTTCATTATGTCTGCCCTAGAGCATCATTGCGAAAGTGTTCCACAGGAGAGTTCTGCAGGGCATTGTCAGCCAGCACCAGGCATGACCATCATGAATGAAAGCCACTTGAGTGCTGCCCATTTCTAGCCCCCCAGATCTATACCGCAGAAACCTTCCCTCTGATCCAAAACATAAGGCTCTTGTGTTTCTTACCTCTAATGAACCCCTCCTAAAGATTAGGTGAAAAAAAATTTAATAACCATTGTTAGCCTCGGGGGATCCTGGCTAGAGATGTTTCCTTTCTTGGTGCTGTCTGTGCAACGCTGTACTTGAATCACGTGAAAAGCCTTCACGATTCCAGTGTTGAGAGGTAAGGCACCCAGGCAGAAATCAAGATCATGGGCTACAGAGTCTGACTTAGGCCTGTCCCGTCAGCATTGTGTGAGAGATGCATTTGTATTGTTGTTCTTTTTGTGGGAAGTTATCACAATATATAATGCATGTTTTCCTCGCAGTGAACTCGTTATGTGGAGCTTGTGAACAGAGTGGTTAATTCAGTTCTCATGTTGCTCCCTGTTACTGGTCTCAGAGGGAAGAGGGGTCAAGAAGACATCTTAGTGGGCATTCTGAGCCTTTCGCAATATTTCTAGCCACATTTCACTATTACAAAGACAGTTGCAATTTTTTGACATTTTAGCAGTGGACTCGGTGGTGATTAACCCCATCTGTTACCCGGAAGCCCAGCATTGTAGAGAATTTGTGTGAGCTGCTTGTGCTGTACATATATGCACCTAACATCAAGATAGATGGACACCATGGTAATCATTTGGGTGAAGGACATGGCTTTTTGAGGTGAGGGAATGTAATTTAAGATTGTATCTGTTAGATGCTTTCTTTCGACAGATTCTTCTGGATGCTATGCAGACAAGAGGCTAGGTCAGAACTGGAGGGGAATGATGTTCC